CCTGTTTTTCTCTCCGAACCCCGCTAGCGACCATCCGCCCCCTTGCGACCACTATACACTATCCCCTGCCCCCCCCCCTCTCCCCCAAGGTCAACGACGCGTCGGTGCAACACAGCTGAGCCTCCAGCTCAGCGCTACAGCTGAGCGCAAAGGTTGTTGTGATGCTTTCCTTTCCGGCCCCCGCACCCCCTCGCCTTGCAGTCATCTGGTCTGCGCCTGTGAGCCTGTCCAAGCCTGTCTCCCGGGTCCCGGGCTCCCGGCCGCGCCCTCCGCCCGGGCACCGGGTGTCCCTCAGGGCATGTCCTTAAGCAATATTTCGTAGCTGCATGCCCAAGCATTCCGGGTACAGCACGCCTATTGAGGACGGACGGCAGGTCAGTCCGGAGACGGTCCCCAGCCCCCGGCCGGCCGCTGGGGGCTCGTGCGGGTGCGGGGGCAGAGGGAGGGCGGGGAAGGCTCACTGCTGTGCCCCGTCGGCCCGGCCAGGCTCTGCGTAACGAATTGGGCAAAGGGCGGGGTGCGAGGGGCGGGGCGCGAGGGGCGGGGCGCGAGGAGCGGGTCATGAATTCGCAAGCAAAGCGCCAAAATCCACTCGTTTTTTTTTCGCAGGGCCATAGTGTGCCCCCCCCCACCCCCGCTGATAGTGACGAGATTGGCGCGTACTCCCCGTCACTGAGTGCTGTCTGTCTCCTTCGCACTAACGGGTGGGTGGGGGTCCCTCCAAAACTGTTCACGCCCCCCCCCTCCCGGCCGTTCTTGTCAGCGTTTGAACAGCACGGCGTCCCCCGCTCCTGCGAAGTCCCCGCTATTTCAATTTTCATAGCAATGTTCAGGAATCCCATCATCAAAGAAGTTAACTATGCACACAGTCAAGAAAACAGTCGAGAGAAACGATCTTGAAGTCACGTTCTGAGCCCCCCCCCCCTACTCATCCGCCGTTTTCCTGATTGCCTTGCGACCGCGTCTAAGCATTGCATTGTCAAAGCATTTTACTACGAAAAGAAAGAGAGGGCTAATATCTAATTATTACATGGCGCCACGAAACGATTCTTCAAAATAATACGCAATAATGTACCCCTACAAAGCATTGACAAATGGCGCGAAACCTGATTTCAATTAGTCTGCCCAACCCAGGGGTCTCAGACAGTGACGTCACGCGGGCCGCACGAGTCGGACCTCTCACTCGCACTCACTGCGATCACATAGCTCCATCTCTCTCCAGTGCGGCCCTTGCGGCCCGCGGGCCGCGTGTCTGAGACCCCTGGCCCAACCCTACCTCTCTTGTAAGCTAAATTTGGCTAAAACCAAAAGCAAACAACAAACCAGAAAATTCCTAGCCTCAGCCTCTCTCGCAGTAACAAAAGCAACTTCGCCACTTACCTTTTATTATTGCCGGTGAGGTGATGCCGGTGGGGTGCGGGCGGCTCCTATTGTGATGATTGCCCAGGTGCCCAGGTAAGGCCGGCGGAGGGTGCGGCGGAGGGTGCGGCGGAGGGTGCACACAGGTGATATGCCAGGTAGGCACGTGCCACCGATAATGATGAGGTCCAGGGAAAGAAAGGAAGTCCGGTCTGGTCAGCGCCGCGGGTCGCAAAACGCGAAGTAGCCACGCGATCCAATTTACAGGATATAGCACAAAGTCGACGACGGACGTACAGAGTGAACTCGCGGATAATCAGTAATCTTTCACACCGTTGAATGAGTTCAAACACTTAAAGGAAAACAGCTGCACGGACTCGGCGCGGCGCACGGTCGGAAACAAGTGTATCGCACGGCGCGGCCGGGAGGACTGCGCGGACTGCTGCTGCCGCCGCCAGCCTCCAGCAAGGGATGGAAAATCGAGGAGAGACGCAACTTCAGCGGTGTTGAGGCTCGTTGTAAAGTCTGCTGATTGGCTACCCTCGCCCTTTCCGGTTAATACAAAAGCTAACTTCCTCCCCCACCTCCCCCCACCGGCAGCGTCACATGTCCATCCTAAGATCCGTTGTCTAGGAGTAACCATATTTTTTTATTGCAGCCACCCGGGTACACATTGTCTTGTAGCGGGTAAGGTCAGTGCCGACCCGGGCCCCGGCAGCAGCACCGACTTTCACGCCATTTGCTGATGGCTGCGTATCAATAGAAGCCCCTCGCTCCCTTGTTGCCTGTGCTGCGGTGCGGGCTCTCCGCAGAGTGAGAAAGATAGTTTTTCGGGTACAGCCCCAGCCCGTTGCTACGCCTGGCCAAGCCGAGGCAGATATCCCTGACAGGGTCAAAACCGCTGTATTTGAATCCAAAAAATTTTCCGGGTGAGGATTAATGACGTACATCGAGAGAGCGAACACATGACAGCCCTTACGGCACATGTGCGATCTCGTCTATAGGCTTCGCGATATTTCTCATCGCACTGGAACGCAAGTGTGTGAATGTCACTCACTTGTAGGTGTGTGAACATCCATTCGTACACTTAGGGGGGTAAACGTGTGAATTTTCTAGGGAAAAGTACCTCTCCACAACTCCTGTAATCATGTGTACGGATGGAAGTGTAACTCCATGTAATACGTGTAATCCGTGTAATACTTGGGGGTTCCGGCCGGGCGGGCGTGGGGTGAGGACGCCTCCACGTCTTCTCCTTCGATTTTTGTTGGGATAAACCGGATAAACGGAGTTTTCTGAGCCATATTTAGTGAATCGGCGTTGTGCCCGCGAGTGTCTGTGCAAAGTGCTGTGTCGATTGCTTGCGGGGTTCGCGAGTTATTTGTGATTTTCTGTTGCGCCCTTTGTCCCACACGCTGAGCGTCGTCTGGAGTGCACAGCTGTGCAGAATTTTACGGCGCACCCCTGCGTCCCTGTCGCAGCGGCCCCCTCTGCAATTTGGATTACAGTGTTTTGGCGTTCAGTGTAGTGTGTAGTGTCCAAGTGAGTAGTGCAGCATCCAAGTGACCACAGCAGTGTCCGGGTGCTCAACGCCTCGTCCCTGCAGCACAGGTGCAGTTCAAGTGTCTCGACCCGCAGCCCCCAGAGTATGAGGTGCCTTGGTGCAGTGTGCAGTTCTTGTGTCCGTTAGTACCCCTCCCCTATCCGCGTTGAGTCAACGCTACCCGGTACCAGCGGTTTGGCCTTCCCTCTGACGTCATTAGTCCTGCTGCATGGCGTCGCTGCACCGCGTCCTAAATCACGCCGCGCCACGCCCGCCGCCAGCACTCCAGCCCTCACCCGAACACGCGGCTGGTCTGAGTTCTGTAACTTTCGTTTTTATTTCAGCCTCCCTCCTTACCCCTG